ATTCCTGCTTTGGGAACAAGTTTCCAAGCAGGGCTTAATAACACCTCCTAAATACCTAAAGCTATAATTAACCACCTCTCTACTTACATCTGCCTAGTGATGTGTAGCCACTCATGGGTAGATCCTGCCTCAGCCACTGCCCCTCTGGTCATTTGAAATAGAAATTTGCTTTGGAAATACTGACTACGCAGCAACACGCTTTCCTTGGCACTAGCGAGTGTCCACATGACAAAGCGAGAGAGATGTAAGAATATGGTTAGCATCCAGACCCATCCCAACAGAATTCGCTTTGCTCCCCCATGGGCAAATGCCAGAGAAATTAGAGAAAATTATATTGCCCATGGAAATGCTTATCATCTGCAACGCCGTGCAGAGTGTCATTGCGATGAAGCATTCCCAGCACATAAATTTATAACAGAATCCCACTCATAGGGCAAGTCCACCTGCTTTACACTGGAGAAGAAAACACCCAAAACATTCACAGGAACTTGGCTGCTGTCATCAAATTCAGTGGATTTAAAGATGCGAAGAGGCAGCTTCACTTAAAAGTGTCCTGGCCTTTATTTAATTTTGTCAGCCCAAGCTGGGTTTGAAACAAGAGAACAACATTGGGAACCCATTCCTGGGGGGAAAGAAAAACCCTCCAAAATATGTTGTCTCTTATTTCTTATAGTGATTGCACGTGAGAGGCTGATGTGGCTCCCCAGCAGGCTGGCCAGCCTTTCTAGGGCATGTTGCTATTCCCTCAGCCCACGCTCAGATCCATCTGTCCAGGCTTTAAAACCCCAGCTGTGTGGCACTGCACAGGAGAGGGAGGAAGTGGGTGACGTTGGGACTCTCCAACTGAGAAGTGGGCAGCCAACCCCCCGTTTTAACCTTGCGGAAGGGAAGAGGTGTAGTAAGAGATACTGAAGAAAAGGAAAAGAAGGTTGGAGGAGGCTTTGCAGTTTGCCTTTGTAACGTGCAGGCTGCTTTGGGGCTTTGTCTGGATCTCTTGGCTCTCCTTGAAGGACCAAATAGCCGAGCAATACGACAACTCATGGTGAGCCACCTGGCTCCAGGCAAAGCCCACGGCCTTTGAGAAGATCATTCTCCCATGAATTTGAGAGCTGCTCAGGTCTGATGTTCATTCAGTCTCTGCCAGAGCTTCAATTGGAGGGAGAAGTATATCCACGGGATTTCCTCCATGTTATCAATTAATCTGCCCAACATGGTGAGCATTGCCAAGAATGATAAGCATTTGGGGGCATTTTATTCTATAAATTCATTTAAGGCTACTATAATTTACTGAAAGACTCACTAGAACAGTGGAGTCTTGAAATGAAAGAAATGTTTATCCCTTAAATAGCTCAAATAATGATTAAAAAAGGCAATATTTTTAAAAAGTTTTTTAAATCTAACCACATGAAGCTTGCTTTGTTTGAAATTTAATTTCTGCTACAAAGCATAAACCAAAGTAATAAAATTTTCTCTAAGCCTCTCCTTCCCCAAGCCCCATGAGTGAAAGTGCCTGGCTTGCCTTTTTTCATGGAACTTATGCAAAATTCATAATTTCCATGGCTTTGACATAAACAATTAAGAGTATCAGTCATTTCTTGCTTGCCTGTTGATTTTGCTCACAGATCATCTTCAAAACAGTCTCTGTAAGACCATGGCACACCTGATGAGTGAGAAACAAATCTTAAAAATTACATTATTACTTCAGACTTTTACACCAATCATTATCAGCATACTGATTTAGAAAAAAAAAAAAAAAGAAAGAAAAAAAAATCACCTATGTCTTAAGATGTCTGGTCCAGTCAAGGAAGAAAAATCCTTACCCAGAGCCTTCCCTGTATATACACTTGCATGTAGGTGCAGAGATCTGTGATATTTATTAGCTCCTCTGAGTCTATGGTATGAATTAATTCCTTTGAATAAGTGATTTCTTTTTCATTAGAACTTGGACCAAAACGTCCAGTGGTGGAAAACAGAGTCAAAGAAATATCTTACAAATATTGTGTGTAGTCTTCAGAAAAGTCTCCTGCAAAGCTTCTAGAGCACAAAATTAGTAGCTGTGATGTCCACTGATAAAAAATACTGCTCCAACTAAAAATAAAAAGCATAATTTTGTTGAGCTAAAAAAGTAGCAAATGGTACTACTGTTTTAAAAGGACTGATGAAAATAAATTCTCTTTCAGAATTTGTTTTCATACTGCATTGATCTGTTGTCCTTAAACACAAGTATTTATGTATCTTCCTTTCTTCAATTACGTTCTAAATTGATAATCACCAATCTATTTAAGAATAATATATTTTGTGCCTCTTAACACCTTCTTGTCTAAAACTCGTGTGAGAATACCTTTTTTGTCTAGACAATTTAGAATCTGAATTTTTTCAGTAATTTGTGGGTTTTGACCCTTTTCTGCCTTTCAAAAGTTTCCTTTTTTAGATCTGAATGCTCTGGCTTTTATTCTACTCATACGTTGAACCATTTCCTACTGTTTTGGTAAAGTTCTGTTTCGTTTGGGGCTGTCTGGATATGAGAAGCTATCATTGATTTAATTGTATCATGATGTTTTACAATTTCAGAAAGTTCGTTTTCACTCTAGCACTCGAAATACAGACATTTTTTCTGGGAAGAACGCTTATAACAAGCCCACAAGATATCAGGTAATCACAGCATGAAAGCAAGAGCCAGGAAAGAGATCTGTCAGCGAACAGCTCTTACCTGCACGGGTCCTGTTTGCTTCTTCCAGTCAATGCCACCCTGGGACGTGCCAGGCTGTGGCTTAGCACGGTCACAGGACGGGACTGGAGCACTTCACGTTCACGTTGCTCTGGGACAAACGCAGCCTGTCACCCATGGAAATACACATGGTGCTGGCGTTTGGCATGCTGGTTAATTCCACTCAAGGGTATTTAATTTAATTTAATACAAGAAATAACATTCAAGCTTTAATCTTCCAATCTTGCATTGACAGCATTTCATTTTGTCTTGACGCAGCGTCATCTCTCCAGCCTTCGCGTTAACATTTGCATGTGCTTTCTCCGGCGGTGACTTGTCCTACCGAGCTAAACCTGCAATGTGGTACGGTTCAAAAATACCTGTGGCTGCGGCGGTGGCATGGGGTACCCCAGCCACCGCAGGAATGAACACAACTGTCCGTTCAGCTGGAGTGTTCGTCCCAGCAGATCTATTATTTCTTGTGCAAAGATGTGTAGTAGGGTAACACAACAAGCAAAATGTGCCCCACAGGATTTTTTCCTTATTTTTTAACATAAAGTGAAAAGGCATCTGATGGCAAGTGATATGTCTGAAGGAACCAACATTAAAGAGAGTTGAAGAAAGTAATAATTAAGTTGGATAAAATGTGCAATGGCAGTTCTAGAATTGGTTTGCCTTGTGTTGGTTCAGCATCCAGCACAACGGGCTGACCAGCAGACCAGTACTAAATTTCTACTGGTTTTAAGAGTTGTCCAGATTTTTGTGCCAGGATAGAAGGTGTGTCTAAAGAATCTAAGTTAGAAATGGGATACATTCACTCTGGCATCTGGAGTTAATTGGCTTGATACCATCAAAGGCAAAGGGAAGAGATGATTGTGTCCCACTCAAAATGGAATTTCAGCATTTCTGACATTTTCCTGTCCATTCAAACCCCAGGTAACAGACGTATTTGTCCTGCTGCTGTACTCGTTCTCTTCCTGTAGCTGTTATTTCTAAATTAGACCACCTAATGTTTGTGGTAAATTAGACCCTTATTTCCAAGGTTGAAAAAGCCAAAGGCAGCTGTGAAAAATAGATAGAAAAAGATAACTAGCTGTTATTTTGCTTTAATAATGCTCCTACTAGGCTTGTCTTCAAAAGATCTTAGAAAGTTTCAGTTGCTGCAGGAAGAAATTGCCCAAATAATATAAGGAGAGTGTAGTAGTCTTGATTATCTAAATATAAAGAACAAACAGTTTGATAATCCAGCCAGCAAGCTTTCTTCTACAACTGGGAAAAACCTTTGAAGCAGTAGCTTCTTGCTGAACTGTTTTCTTTATTTTATTTATCAAGTGACATATCGGCAGTCTGTGTACTTGGAATATACGTACATACATACATACAGTGCTCTTGAGGTATAACAAAAATATACAGAATCTAAACATGCAATAATTTGAAAAGCAGGAAGAACAAGTCAACACACAGCTGCCGTGATCTGGGAATAAACTACTCTAGGCAATGATACCTTTATCAATTCCTCTTGAGCTGAGACTTCAAGATGGAGCATGGCTAAAATGCTGGGCTAAGCTCACAGGTTTTTCCCACATTCGGCACTAGAGTGTGTCATGCTACCAACAATATCTTCATCTACAAAACTCAGGAAACGATTTGTCAGGAAAAAAACCAGAAGGAATAGTTTTTACTCTTAAAGTCTCAGAAGTATATTTCTTCAATGTTTGGAGAAACAAAATAGCAAAGAGGTGAGAAATGAGCAAATTCCTTTGCATGCTTCACTCAAGCTCTTCTACTTCCTAACGGATAGCATGTGCATTTGAGGTCGCCAGGTTTGGGATCTGATGCCCCAGTGAGCAGCTCCATCTGATCACTGCCGACTTGCGCTTGATTTTGACCAGGCACATGAAGGTGCGAAGCATTTCCTCCCATTCGTGCTGCCCTGGGACCGCCGGCACTCACGCCAAACGACATCTGCCGTCTCCACAAACACAGCATCAGGAAGAAACCTGTGGATTACACAGCAGTACCAAGGCCTGTAACAACGTGGTCTTCAATGGCACATATAAGTGAAGTCCAGAATAAAACACTGTAAACAGTGATGTGGGAACACGTCACGTCCTCTGCGTTAAAGACAAGGAGCTGCGGTCCAGCGGGACTTATCAGACCCAAAAAGCCTATGGTTAAACCAGAAATTGAGCCCCAAATCTCACGAGTTCAATTTCAGTGCCTTGGCCTTAAATCTGTCCTTTTCTTCTCAGTTCCCTCTGTGCTAGATGGTATAGAAGGTGTTCAGCTAGCTGATGGCAAATGCAGACCTTGAAGGTTGTGCCATTAAATACATAAAAAAAGATTGGATTCAGTGCAGAGTTATAATTTACAAATGCCTATTCTCTTAAGACCATCTTAAGAACAACATTCAGTAGTTGAGCGTTGCATAGTATAAAAGATATCTAAGACCTGAAGAATTTCAATTAAGATTTAGAGAATGGAGGAACAGTACTTTAGAGAAATCAGACATATTTGTTTTGTTTCAGGTTCAGCATCCATTACCAAGAAGCTGTCTGTAAGTTTTGTTCAGCATTTCCCTGCAGTAACCAGGATTATTTTGCCAAGAGGCTATTTCAGTCATTGCAGCTAGAAGGAGCAGTACTGGGGAGAAGGGAGGAAGCAAGGCTTAGAAGCCACAGTGCAATATTCAGGCAAAAATGAATTACTTTCCTAAAGCTATTGGCAGAAATATCTACTAAGCGCCTAAGTAGACTCTTGTTAAAAAGTGGTCATATTTTTAATATTTAGTTTCTGTAGACAAATCTGACTACAACATATGTTTGATAGACTAGGCAGCCTTAAGACTGTGACCTCTGTCACACATAGTGCTTCATATAGCACAGCATTTGAGTAGTGTCCATCAAAAATACAAGCTGTATGGGCACTGGATTAGATAGATGTTACGTTATCAGATTTTTCCAGGTAATAAGAGCATTCACTGTGTCCCGATTCCTTGCTTTAGTCTAAATTTCCTCTGTCGTCTGTTCTGGAAGTCATTTCTTATTGGATCCAGGATTTCCCTACTTTCCCCAAACTTTACTTCATTTATGTTTTCTCAGGTGACAACCCTACCTCCCTCTGAATTCTACTACCTTGGCCATCTCCAACACACCGTACGTGCGCTGTGCCTCATCTCTGTTGCCTTAAGGCCTCACCCAGTTAGCCAGATGCCTCCGATACAAGGACAGTCTTAGACATCCTATATTCCGTGACTGCATGACCTATATACAAATGACTGGATCCTTCTTTGATGTTCATTTGCCTTTCGCACCTCTATTATCTGTATTTGGCTACTAAGAAAAAAGAGCAGGTGTACTGACTTCTTAATTCATATTTCATGCTCTTTGCAGCATTTTTCAGTCACGTTCAAGGCAGAGGCATGTGATTGCTCTGTGAACAAGTGAGCCCATGCTGGGAGACGCTTTTCCCTTAACAGTGGCCATCTGGTCAATGAAAGACACTTGTGTATCTGTTCTTGGATGCTCACTGAACCCTCCTCTTTGCAGAGGATGCATCTAAATCATTGTCTCTGATAGAGCAATCCTTTTTATGTTTCTCACAGTTGATTTTTTTTTCCCTGTTGATGAATGTCTTTTCTGTAGTGAAGAACTGGCAATGACACAAGCCTTCAGCTGTAACCCAGCGTGCAGCCCAAGACTGCCAAAGTTACTTTCCTTCTAGATAAATGTAATTTATGCATTTTTGGAACAATATCACATTGCAAGCTCATATCTATAGCCATCATCTCCTACTTCCATATGCACTGTTCCTTACTAACAATCATCCTATTTTATAAGTCTACATGGCTCTATTTTTTCCCCTGTGCATGTCCCTAAAATCTGCCATTTCCCTAAGAAACTTCTCTCAAGCCAAGGTCTCCACATCTGTTCAAACTCTCTTTCTCTATCCTTCACTAAATGTATTTTCTCTCCTAAAACCCCAATTGCAAGACAAACAGAGTTTTTCTGTTAACCTCAGGTCAGATGTTTAAGTTCATCATCCTGAGTGAGTTTGCTAACATCGTTAATTATCCACTTATTTCTTCCTGTAAAGTATTTTTTATAGATACATTAAACAGCAACATATTAAAAGAAGGCTCTGGATCCCATTTCTTGGCTTGCTACTGGGTCATCTGTATTTTCTTTCTGTCTGTGGGACATACATACTTTACATTCATGTGCATCCCACAAAATACCCCAGAGTGCCTCTTACGTGGGCTCATTACGGAATGGCTATCAATCAACTATTATAGTACAAAGTTCATAATATAAAGTATAAAATAAGTAGGAAGTCAATAAAAAATTCTCTTTGCGTCCTCTGAAGCCAGGTTTTATCCGTAGTGAAATCAGGTGTTTGAATTGCTCATAGTAAGTCTAGAATTAAGGCAATGTGGATAAGTTCATGTTAAGATAAGTGTTTCTGTTCTCTCTTCAGAAAATAATGAAACGTCTGATCAAGCGGTATGTACTGAAGGCTCAGGTTGACCGAGAAAATGATGAGGTCAACGAAGGCAAGTGGATTTTTACAATTGACACAGATTAGAGCATGTAATGTTATTGCTATTTATATGGCCAACAATAGGGTTGAGCTTAGATAACATCCTCCGCAGAAAGAGAGCATGCTCATGCTCGTACTAAGGTGAGCAGTAGTGACTGTGAGCCACTTTTATGCTCTTGAAATTCTGGGTCCTTAATTTTCCTTAGCAGAACACATATATAATAGGGTCTGTTTTTACATAACACTGTTCTGCCCTATAGGTATACCTGTCCTTGCTTTACACCACCTACAGTGTTGCCAACACCAAACCTTGTCTTGGGATCTAAGGAAATCGCTTTCTCACTGTACGACCCATGCCTGTCCCAAGGACTTTTTTTTGAACTGGAGAAGGATTTGTATGGCCATGGTGTCATGTAGGAATTGTATCCAGATGGAAAAGAACCTCCTTCCAAGACCTTTTAACTGCTACCCTCCTGCAAATGCCCTATGTAGGTGGACATCTATATGTGGAGAGGGAATAGACTTAAAAAAGATTAACTTTCCATACATACTTGCTATTGCTGTGATTACCATTACTGTAAGTACAGGTTATTTCTTGTAAGTCAAATATTAAGTGCATAAATGCAGGGACATCATATGGAGCTCCACACACATTCATGAACAAGGACACTGAAATTAATGTTTTCTCAGGTCTTAAAACCATAGAGATTAGTTATTTGGTTCAATATTGCTAACCAGAACATTTTACTCCTTGTAGGAGAACTTAAAGAGATTAAGCAAGATATTTCTAGTCTCCGCTATGAACTTTTAGAGGAAAAGTCACAAGCTACAGGTGAGCTGGCAAGACTAATACAGCAGCTGAGCGACAAATTTGGGAAGAACTTAAATAAGGACATTTGATGGTGGACACAGAGAAAGGCAACTGGTTTTCTAAACATTATTCAGTCTCAACCAGCATCGTAGGAGGGCAAAAGATGGGTACCGCACACTCAACTTTTGCTAACTAGCAAGTATTGGGAGGAACACTTTGCATTACTCCTGTGCTTGGTGAGCTACCAGTTAAATCTTCTATGATACAAAAGTGACTTACTGGTAAAAATATATGTCCTCTGACATCAGAAATAGATGCACCATGGGGAAGGCACCTCTAGTTAAAGGCAAAAAAACCCAGATCTTCACCCATCTGACTCTAGTGAAGATGATGCAACTGTGCTCGTTTATATCAACTGAGACTGTACTGATCAGAGTTGGGTGAATTCCGAAGAAAAAATGTGTCAGGCATATTCCTTGGAAAATTTTTGGACTTCCTATCCTTGGGTGTGTATTCTCCTTTTATGTTTACACAGGCATCCATGAAGGTAACTTTGAAAAGCACTGTGGTTATTGAAAAGCAAATGAGAAATCATCTGCTGAAATCACCAAGGTAAAGTAAGGCAGGTAGAGGTCATCTACTTCTGAGACTGGATGGCAACGCCGGAAAAAGTGAATCAACCTTGTTGGGTGAAGCGTCCTTTCACCCCTCTGCTAGAAACTGATAAAGGGATTCCCAGCCAAAAACTCCTCTCTGCTGTTTCCAGCTACATTAGCTAGTCCGCTAATGGATATCGTCTCTTTGTACACACCCAGCCTCTCGTTTATCCTTAGATGATCCCAGCTTCAACAACAGCGTACTGAAATATTCATAATGGTGTGAAACTCACTTCCCAGGAATACCCACAAATAACATACATTGTGCTAATGTGTTCAGTTCAAGGAACGACATTAATCCAGTGACAGCGATGCAACTGAGCTCGGCTTTCGGATTCCAGAGGTCAAACAGCAAGCCATAGGGTGAGATAAATCATGAAGAACATATCCCAGTAGTTTCAAACCTTTGTATCAATATGAAAAGGCTTCAACTCCACTGAAAATTTTCTGACAAAAAAAGGAAAAAAAATTGCAGATATGGTTTTATGTGTTTGGCTCTTACAGAGGATGAAGAAGGGATTAAAACTGTTTTATAGGCTGCGGTAATACAAGTACTTGGATTGCACTTCTAATGACTAGAAAGTGATGTGTCTGCGCAACACAAGTGCAAACTTGGATTGCTTGTGTTTTTATGTTTAGCTACATGATTTCAACTACTTAAAGCACACCTTACTACTTGGGAACCAACTAACTGTACTGTTTGTTTACAAGAGACACCTAGAAGATGAACATTACATTTAGGTATCATCTAAGAAAAACAAGCAGAGCCAGAAGGTGACCTGTGATCAGTTCTTAAGTGCCAGATGAGAACACAGATAGCCTAATAGAATAATAGTTATATTTGTAAAAAAAAAAAAAAAAAAAAAAAAAAAGTGAACTGTACGTAGATCTGTTTAGAGAAAAAGCAAAATACTGTATTTTTACCTTTAATAAGATTATCTTGTATACTGTAATATTTTTACCTAAAAATGGGGAAAAAAATAAAATTACCTCATAATATTTTGTTGTACATTGAGTGAAATATTTGCCTGATCTTTTACTCTCCAATACTTTTTTTGCTTTTCTGCAATGTGTGAACAATGACATCATTACATAAAGCAATTTTGCCATTGGAATTCGGAAGCCCGACAGAGTCAAAAAAGAAAACTTAAACTACAATACATTTAAAAGGAGTAAAACTTAGAAATTAAAGGTTCTGTAACCAATTGTAGTCTGCAAAAATGCCTCCTTATTTGTGGTGCTTAATTTGAAATTATTGTATTCTTATTAGTGCGTTTGTAAAATTGCGTTCCAAGAACAGAAATTCAGCTCAGCTGGCTTCAGGCAAGACTGGTGCTGGTACTGAGTGTACAGTCCAAAGCCAAATGAGTAACACTGAAGTTTACAGGCTTTAGCTGGTAAAACAACCGAAACAGTCTTTGCCCCTGGATTACCCCATCTGGGTAAGCGGTACTTTACAGCCCTCCCACACACGGTAGCGTTTCTCACAGCCGTTATTTATAAATGTGGGAAACCTGTTGCTTTGGCATGATAGTTCTTGCAATGTAGGGTCATGATGAAACACTTAAACGTCAACGTTCAGCAAAGAGCATCAAATGCCAGTGTAAAAAGGCAGACAATGCAAGTAATAATATCTGCAAGAATGCAACTCATTGGTTTGGGCTGTCTTCCACTACTCAAATCAGCAAATATTGCTGATTTCAAATATCCAGTTTTCCCCATAAAAAGAAGGAATATCTTTCACGGTAATATTGCTTCCCCTGCCCCTTCCAGCCACTATGTAAAATTTTTTTCAGTTTTGGAAAAATCCAGCCCTGTTGCCACAGCTCTGTCTTAAAAATAAATTTCATTACAACTCTACGTCTGGCTGCTGATGAAAGCACTGCTTTACCCTTCCCATTCAGTGTTCTAGCATCCCTTAGGAATTTAAGCAGAATTATTCTAGGTAGAACATACAATAACTACCATAGTTTTCATTTCTCATGATATTGCATTTCAAATCACACAAGAAAGTTAAGTGGAAAGACTTATGAGGCATTTACTTACATTTTGTACATTTAAATGCAACTCAACAAAAGACCTGTCTTAAAGTCCAGCAACGCCAACAGGAATGTTCTCCTACTGCTGAATACTGTAGTCAACGCATGTTCTGGTCAGGACAAATAACAACCAACTGTGGCTCGCTTTGCTGAATTATGTAGGCCCAGGTGGACGTATAGCCGTGCCCCCTCAGCTACTGCCTGCTGCCCCTATAGCACATGTAGAAGTGAAGCCGTGCAGTCCTGCCACAGCTGGTTAGCATGCTGCTCTGCATTCAGGAATTCGCTATGAAAGAGCATAATATTTTCTAAGACTCCGAAAGTAGACTAAAAGATGTATGAAAAACACTGTTAAAAAAAACTGCTTTAAAAAAACCATTGCTTAAAAAAAAATATCTCCCCTTTTGCATTTACATTCCAGGAACTATCAAGGCACTGAGACTTTTTATATAAATATTCATGACAAGCAGAATCCCACTTCATCAGAGCGCTTTTCTCATCTGGGCCCAGGAACACACCCCAGGAAGCTGCACACTATGTATTAATGTGCTGTCAGCAGAAACGATGTTAAATTCATGGTTTATTCTCCAAGCTCTCTTTATAAGAAATTAAAATTAAGAAACCTTACTAAAAGATGCCTGAGAGAACTTAAGAGATTTTGAAGAGGAAAAATCAAAGTAGGTGGGTGCCAGATTGGATTAGACCTGAGACATGAGGGTCCCCTGTCCCATCTCCCATCACCGATGGGACCTCATGGCAGACCTGTATCACATCAACCCCCCTGCTGAGGCAGATTCAATGCAGTCTGTAACAGCCCTTACTTTTGGCTTTGAAATATAGGATTTAATGTTCCTTGGACAAATTCATACTGCGAAGGAATGGAACTTTGCCCAAGCTCTTCTTACATACAGAATTACGATTTTATAATATATGATTTTATGGGGAATATGTAGAGAAAGAGGAAATGAACCTGGAGTAGCCACACAAGGGTGAATATTTTCCAAGAAATCGTCCTAATACTGCAAATCCCACAGGCCAGTCAAACGTGAACTTAAATAGACACCCTGAAGAAGATCAGAACAAAGCCATTAAATAGCCAATACCGATTTGTTAACTGCCCAAGTCTTCAGACAATTGTTTCACGCCTTGCAAAGACCAAACCAGTCAGTTGCTGCTAACAGAAAGGGAGCGAGCAGCAGAAACCATTAACATGCCTTAAAATAGCTGAACTGCAAGGTTTTGAGCCGGGAACCCCTGCTGACCAGAGCTGCAAATCCTGAAAGAAAGGAGCTGCCCGAGGGCATGGGGCATCATGCATTTCAGAGCACGGGCTGGGCTCTGCAGCCCGCAGGGTGGAGGTGATGTTTCACACCCAGCTTTGCTCTCACAGCTGGACTCATTCCGCCTGTAACTTTACCCAGAACGACTAACGACTAACTAGACTAACGCCTACTGTCCCCAGTTCCCACAAAACATCGTTTAAAAGTAAATAAGAAGCAAGAATGGTGTAATGAATAATGACTTAGAAGACTGCCTGCATCCTGAGCAGGGCTCACAGCACATTAAATCGTCAGAGCTAGGCTTTATTTTTAATTAATCTACATGAGAAAAGCACTTCCAACAGGCCAAAAGAAAACACCCTAATTAAAAGACGTAAGAGATTAAGGATCGCTCAGCAAGGACAAGCCGGGACACAGTCCATCACCACAAACGCAGGAGACCTGAGGAGCGTGGACAGGGTTTCAAACACACCTGCAGCTGACAGCGGACCTCTGCCTGCATCGTGGGCAGCACCGCGATGACGTACACCACAGGGTACATCTGCCGCCTCTCACGCCCCAAGCAGGAACCTGGCAAACGGGTCTTTAGTTCCCAGTGAGGTCTGCATTTGCCTCCCTCACTAACCAACAGGCAGGGAAATGCTGGTGAAACCCTGGCACAGGTTGCCTGGCGAGGTGGTGGATGCCCCATCCCTGGAAACATTCAAGGCCGGGTTGGACGGGGCTTTGAGCATCCTGATCTAGTTGAAGCTGTCCCTGCTCATGGCAGGGGAGTTGGACTAGATGGCCTTTAAAGGTCCATTCCAGCCCAAAGTTTCTATGATTCTATGACTTCATAGCCAAGGCTACCAGGACTGTCCTGCAAGATGGCTTTCACATGGGGAGGACAGATGTTTTCCCTATCCAGACATTATAAATACTTTCCTTGTGACCCATCCTGACCCCTAAAAGCAGCTCTGCCCTTGCTTTGGCCAGAAAACTCTCACCACTAGGGACTTAAGATGCTACAAGTCAGTAGGTCCCATCACTCCCCTCTTCACCCACTTGGCTCATGGTTGTCATTTTACCTTGCCAGTGGCTGGGCTGTAAACCCTGCAGGCGGGAGACCTGATGC